CATTTTCCAGTCTCGTTTTGTACCTTATTACATTATTGTGTCTTTTGACACGGTTTCTGCTCCTACCATTTATTCCTATTCCTATTCCTACCATTTATTCCTTGTCTGGAATTAAAGCCTTTTCTGACTCTATGAATTCTTTCTCCTTCTCTAAACTCCCAAAGGAAATAATATAAAACTCATAAATATACAACATTTTAGTGAAATCGAAATATTAATTCAAGAAACTTTTCGGTGACTTTCAAATATTTTAAAATACTTCATTTTATCACAACCACGAATATCTAATTACTAATAATTACATGTCTCTCTAAAAAAAACAAATTAAATAGGTATACCATTATTCCGTAGACTAGACAACAATGCATTCAAAAGTGCTAAACCACATTTTTTTATAGCCGTCTTAAACTTTAAAATACACTGTGTTCAAGAATTTCTTAACGGTTGATAAAAAAATACATTATAAACTATCTGTCCGTGAAAAAAAAATAAGAATAATAAAAATCATAATTTCCGTTGATGAAAACCGTGCTATTCCCCAAAGAATAGATTTCGTTATATAAAAAAAAAGAAAAAATAGGTATTTTAACCACGTGAACAGCAGAAATCAGTCACTAGGGTCGAATTTTCCTTTAGAAAACTTTCTTTTTACTGTTAAAACTTTATTTGTATGATTTATATTTACTAAACTTCCGTTTACTATATCTATCCCTCCCCATCAGACTCCAGATCAGATGAGAGAAATAGTTCTAATATCTCTGTTATAGGAAATATTCTATTCCCTTTGGTAATAATCGAACTTCCTTATCAATAAGGAATCGAACAACAAATAAAGTTCCGTCGAAATAGGTAGCGTACCTAGTTCTTACGAGTTTTGCTAACATAAAAACGGAGCGAGTAGAGAATAGGAAATTGAAACCTTCTAAAGGCACATGCTTACCAACTATGTTGCAAATTATGTAAATATTTTTAACCAATTACTTTATTGAATGAGTCCATGGAAAAATTTAAAAATATAAAACTTGAACACATTAGAAATTTGGTGAGGCGGAGGACAGTGGATGAAATTAAAACCTCCGAAAAACACATCGTTGATACAATAACACCAAGTATGTAGAAATTTCCATTGGCTTCATTGCCTTCAGTTATTATTATTACACAATTCGCATTTTGAGACTCAAGTCAAAAAATTAATTAAAAACCAGTTCAACGAAGTTAAAGACTGGATAACAAATTGGAGTCTATCAAACCCTGATATACATGAGTTAATCATAGATTAATACTTCCAAAGCTTTAAACGACAAAGAAACAGATTGTAGATAAATGCTACGCAAATGCGGCATGACAAACTCTCCTATCTGTGACTATGGCCACCTATCTCAAGCAATGGAACACATCATAAATTGTTTGATTATTGCCGGATCCGCGCTTTCAACTAACTAGTCAACGCAATCCACAAAGTCTCGTATGTAGCTTTCACCTGGCTCAAATCTCTCGACATTCTCTTATAGAAAATTTCCTTTGGAAACAATACAGTTAAATTTATATTGAAATTTAACCCGACTTGTATCACATAATAATCAACTTGAAAAAAACCAACTCTAATTTCCGAGCTTGAGCTATTTGGCCCAGACGAAGCAAATAGTAATGTCTAATAGGAGCGGGAATAATATAGGTATATTACATACAATATTTTTATTTTATTATTTTTTTAATTAAACTGCCCGAAAGCTTTTATTTTAATGATTTTTAACAATACATTTCAAAAGTGTACACGGATATTGTGGTGTATTTATATACAACAAAATAAAACATGTGAGGAGTCTCACGCCCAGTGGAATGGCCCTAGACTTAGTCGGAGAATCTTATACCAAGTCATATGGTCTATGTCGTTTGAGAAGCTTGTGTCTTGAGAGTTATCGAGTAGTTGATTTGCTACTGGATTTGTGTCTTAATCCAGTCTTATCTCATGTTTATTTCGGTGGATTATGTTTTTTTTTTTTTGTCATACCTGTAAACTATAACATACAATGTAGTCTCTTTTTTCAGGGGAAATTTGTCGAAAGCTAGTTTCGTTAAGCGTGCAACGGTTTAAAAACTACTTAAAATCACTTTTTTCGGGTGACTTGGTTTAATTAAATTTTAAACAATATTATATTACATACAAATTGTCCTTTTTAAATTAGAAATAAATTGTGGAAACTATAAATTGAGATTATATTTTTTTTTTCTAATGTAATCGCTTTTTTTAAGTGTGAAGGTTTTTTCTCTCTCGTTCTATGTCACCAAAAATGTATACATAAATATATATAAATGATAAGTATTTTGCGTATAATTGAAAGTTTTTTTTTTTAATAAATAAAAAATGCTATTAAAATTCCGCGACTTTTACTATTTTCTATACTGTAGAACTTCATTAAATTAAAGTTGAAAGGACAAGCAAAAAAATTTGAGTTATCAAAAAAAAAAAAAAAAAAACAAGTACATATACAATTAAAGTTAATATGTATATTTAAAATAAAAGTTATTTAATAATTTGTTTTTATTATGTATTTTCAAATCATAATATATTCCTACACGTTATTAGTTTAGATATTTATTTCACCGTTTCTATAACTTGTTATTTAAAAAAAAAATATTAACTATTATTGATTTGTAAATGTACATATATTGTGGCCCGCATTTTATTAGTTTTATTAAAATTGGACTATCGAGTTATATGCAAAAAATTCGAGTTAAACAAAATTTTTTTTTTCACATCATTTAAAAGAATATTCTAGGGACCGAAAAAATGTCCGAGGTAACAACGATTTCGAAATAATAAAGTTCGAGCTGAACAAGTTTGACTGTATTTATAGGTATTTAATACTATATACGGTATTATTACACTAATCGTAAGGTCTTCGTCATATTATACGCCTTTTAATTATTAAATGGAAATAACATTTGCATAATTCACGTAAGACTGGAGGTTTTCATCCGAGAGAGGGGCGTCTCCGTTTTCCACCAAACCAGAATAAACCGCATTTCCTTTTCTGCCAGTTATAAATAATAGGTTTTTCAAATTTTAAAAATCCTTAAGTAAAATGAGCTAAATGATGCAGTGTCATACTTCTGGTATTGCCATAAGTAACACATTTAAAATACTTATAAATCTATAATTTGAAATGTATGATTTAAATTTCAACCGAATGAGTCGTGTTCAACAAAATTTTTAGCAGAATAATATAATGCTAATAACATGTGTTATTAAATGTTGTTAACAATGATGCAAATACTGCAAAAAAAAATACGGTTATACTTATTACCGTTATTAAATTCTAGGCCAAGCCAAATATGGATTAGTTCTACTATAACTTGTTTTCTAACTTTATTCTTTCTATCTGTTACGAACTTTTCTACCAGAAATCTTGCTATTTTCAATAACTTTGTAGGATCTTTCGTGTATTACTTTTGACTAAGTTAGTGAAACTGTGATATGGTATTTTTGTTAATTTTTCTTGTAGTTAAGAAAAACTGGCATTATTTTGTATACGTTTTTTGTTATCTGGGTTATCTACCTTAACAATAAGGTAACGTACGACTAATAACTGTTCAGAATCGTATTTTTCCATATAGAAATTATAATAATAATACGTGAACAATTTTACAAGAAAACGTTTTGTAGATATATTTCACTTTTATTTTTTGTGAACAATAATTATTTAATATTAACGTAAAGATGTTCCGACAATTTTAAAACCTATAATAATTTATAACTAAGCGGAAAAGGAATTTTTTTTTTTTGTAAGCTGGCGGAAAACGAAAAGATCATTTTTCGAGGAAAAGTGAAGCACACCCGAGAAGATTTGTGTTTTCTTCCTGCGCTGTCAGCAGATTAAATAATATTACAACGTTCGTAAGCGATCGCCGAATTAGGGATATCATATCATATACGATTGTTTTTATCCTCCTCGTTGTGATAATGTAATTATAATATTAGACATTCAAAAAGTCTTCACGCCGAAAAATTATACGGTTTTAAACGTGACCGTTCAATATAATATTATTGTTATGTTTTGAATATAAATTCTACTGCCGAAAATATAGACCAAGACGACGAATCGACGACAATACCAATAATATGATAAAATTATGCAATAATTAAACAGAGTTATAATCGTAATAGATTTTTTTATTTCGTTTAAGTCTTGAACGTTGCAACCAATCTTTCGCTGCCGAAAAACGAATCGTTACGAGACCATCGAATGACAAGTTTATAAGCTAAACTTGCAATCGTTCATTTCTTGCACAAAATTATGTGTACACTTTAAGGTACAAAAACATCCAAAAAGAAATAGTATTCAGAGTAACAAATGTCCAAATACAGAAATTGTATAATAGTTTAAATTATTATTATTAATTTTTTGTTTTGACTAGACATTTCTTTTTACTTTTTTTAGATTCGGTCTAAAAACAAAGTTTATTAGTCTTGGAAAATACGTATTCCTACGTCAATGAAAAATTATTCAAAATTTATTTATTTGACCGTATATTTTTACCGTATACTATTTTGGTACGACAATCACCGAAACTAAAATACGATAATTTCTGTCGTTGTAAGTGGATACTAACAAAATTCCGTCATATACGTTTTTAAGCCCACGTGACAACGATCCGACCGCAACAAGGCGATGTCGACGGGTTGGTTATTTCCACATATGAAATCTTACTGCTGAGTCGGTTTCAGACGGCGACGACGGATATACGGAATTTAGGATGAAGGGGGGACGACTACACGGTACCGGTTGAGGTCGTCGGGTCAGAGAAAAAATAACATGTTGTGGATGGGCAGCCATGAATGTCGGATAGCAAACAAGAGACGACGAAAATCACGCTCGGCTCCATCGCTGTGAAGGCTGAACGGTCGTCTGGCGCCGCCTGGCGAGAGTGGTGGTTAGGTCCGCCGCCGATATATATACAAAATACCCAGGCCAAACAGCCACATACCGTCAGCAAACATGAACAAGATAGTGTTCAGCTGGTGTCTGGTGTTGTTGAACGTCTGGTACTACCAAGTGTACGGGCAGAATGTGACCGCAGTAGACGATCCCGGGGGACTAGGCTCGGTTGGGCTGCCATCAGCGCCGGTAGCCAAAGTCGTCGGGGGGCCCGGCCCGTTATCGTTGTTCGGCGGTACGGACGTGACTGGCACTGGAGTCGACCAGGAAACGGCCGCGTCACACAAGAAGAAAAAGAAGAAGAAGAAGAAGAAATCGAAAAAGTTCAAAAAAGGCGGCGGTGCCAGTCACAAGTCCAAACATTTCAACAAGAAGGGCAAAAAGGCTGACAAGGGATACCATTCGCATCACACCAAGAAGCACGGCAAGAAGGGTCATCACAAGAAGGCGGACAAGAAGAAACACTATTCCAAGAAAGGCGGCAAAAAGAAGAAAAAGCACGACTCTGGCGGATACTACGCAGACCACCATAAAGGCGAGAAGGGCGAAAAGGGCCACAAGTTCTCGGACAAGGGCGCCTACAAGAAGGGTCACAGCACCAAGGGCAAGCACGAAGTACACAAGCTAGATGAGTACAAGAAAAATAAGAAGTTCTATGACGAGAAGCACGACTCAGCGCATCACAAGAAGAAGGGTGGCCACAATAAAAAGTGGTCCAATAAGAAGGGCAAGAAGTACAAGAAGGGACACAAGCACTCCGGTCACAAGCACGCCCACAAGGGTAAGAAGGGTAAGCACAAGCATGGCAAGCATCACAAGTCGCACAAGGGTCACAAGAAAGCGGCTGGGCACGACGAGAAGTATGGACACAAGAAGAAGTACGGCAAGAAAGGCAGCAAAAAGGCCAACAAGAAGTGGAAGTTCAGCAAAAAGAAGAAGTCCGGTTAAACGGCCCGATCCGAATAATATACTATAATAGCTATTATTATAGGTACATATTATTTTATTATTATTGTTATTATTGTTATTGTTTTTATGATATTATTCGACTGAACGATGACTCGACTTCGTTATATTTAACCTTTTTCCTTTCTTATGAAAATATAATAAATTGTATTTATGTGAAATCTGTTTATTTTAATTTTCTTGCATCTCGATCGCTCCCGGTGTTGTTTATTATGTATATAAACCTCAGTATAATACGCATTATGATCCAAGTTACCTCGTGTAATTTAAAAATTGAATCACGCAGGTAAAAAAATGAAAGACGGTCCTTTTGTGATTTTACAAATGTATCTTATGTAAAAAAAATATCTACTGAATATCCTCCTAAAAAAGAAACGAAAAAAATAACTATCGACTAAAAATTGTATGAACATTTTTAACGGCCGTTGAAAATTTAGAAAACTCCGATTTGAGATTCTGAGTAGCAAAAAGCAGTTACGTTTTTCCTGAAGATAAGTGTTTTCCATTTATTAAAATCTCGCACAAAACTTTTACACCATTTCCCCCGATTACACACACAGAATAAAACCTTAAAGTGATAAAGAAATCTTATCAAATCCTATATTGAACTCCAATTAGAATCCTTATTCATTTGCAATATAATATTTTGTGAAGTGGTGTATAATTATTTCCCCCTTACATATCGCCTAATATCCGTTACTGTGTATCGTCGTTTACGATAAAAATCAAAAAAGGAGTAGAAATTCCAAACCGGAGATGCGTTTAGAAAACTTTCCGATTGACGGCAATGACGGCCGCGTTATATGTGATGATAATAAATAAACGATAACTGCATGAACAACGCGTGTTGGCCACTCGACTGAAACCTATAGGAGCCGAGGTGTCGACACTCGCGTCTGTATCGGAATTGTTTTTTTCCACCGGTATTGTTTGTTTTTCTCCGACTACGAAACACCTAAATCGTTTGCAATATTATCATTAGGTACCGCGCAAACTTAGCCTTATAATCGGTGAACCGGAATACCCGTGACGGATCGCACCGCGCGCGCGCCGACGCCGCCGTGTCTCTTTAGGTCAACCGGGTCGTTTGTTTGCGCGCGTACGTACACAACGATTAAAATGGATAATTTGCATTCGTCCGGGTTGCGCAACGATGGCGAACGTAATTAATTTTCTCGTCGACGGCATTAGTTTTTTTTTTTTTTCAATTGATTATACAAATAACGAGCCCGCGTAAACCATTGGCACGAGCACACGCAGAATCACCCGTTTTGTTCTTGGCCCGCCCCGTCTGCGTACCAACTAACGTTAAACTTGTTCCCAGTCATACTTGAAACTATAGCCACAGACGCAAAAGGAATCCTCCGTTTGGCCGGATACGGCGTTATTTGTTTTAAGCAGTTATAATATACATAAATATATATTATACTCTATCATACAACTCAACATGCCGTGTTCCGACGGCGTCTCAATGGATTAACGCGGCGTCCTTTTAATCAATTCCGCCGTGCACATACCAAACTTATTGCGTCATAATTTCCTGCTTCGTCTAAACATGTCACGGTTTTTCACCGAATAAGTTTTAGGTATACGCTTGAGACATAAACTTCCCTGGAGCAGTGTCAAGTTCGGGCAGACTGTGAAAAACACACAATAGAGATATCATGTGTGTTATTGTTATTATTGAAATCATATTATCGATATTACAGGTTTGTAATAAGTGATAAGCGGATTTTATTCGCGTCTGTGGTTCGTTTTGACTGTACAACGTTAATATGCAGCCCTATTATACATGGATCTACCATGTATTAACGATCAAAAAACGAATACGATGACATAACCCAGACATATTAAACCTGAACTCGATGAAAATCAAATTTGTGAACAATTAAATAATTTTAACATTTTATGTAAGTTTCTTCTATGAATAAAATTTATTATAAAGATGACTATTGTGAATTACTCGAACTAACTGTAATTGTTTTAAGTGGAACACCAGGACCGATATATCATGCTCGTAGGATGGTGAAAGTATTACACAAGTAAATACAAAATAAATTCTAAATTCAAGTAACAAAAAAAGGAAAAATAGTAATAAATTCTTCAAGTTGTATTTCGCTGGATTTAAAAATCCTATTACTATTTATTCTTCGACTAATAGTACTAACTAAGCCACGTATTTTTTAGATTCTATAAAAAAAAAAAAGAAATTAACAAATACTTAACTATTATTCACTAACTCGGTTACTAAAATTTGCCGATATCGTATTATTTTACAATTTAGCACTTAGTAGACCATCTCTCACACAGTTAGAAGTAATTATTTGATCTGGCAAGTGATTATCGAAGAAAAAAATAACCCACATAGATACATATATTATGAATTGTATTACTGCAACTATTATTATACGCTAGTATAATTTGCTAATAATAAAACAACGGCTCTTTAGGTTTGTCGTCTAATTTTGTCAATGACTTCTTCAACGTCGTAGAAGGCTGTGGCATTTTGTTAGTCCATTTAATCTTCCGTGAATTTATAGCAAAAGTATGCACATTAAAACACAGATTTTTGAAACCGTCTCTTCTGAAAGATAATTCTGTAAATGTGATTTGAAGTCAACTAATTTATAACGAATAAATTATGTTTTAACTTTTAATCAATCGATTTACAGTCAACAACTATTCTACAAGATCAAAGTCAACCTTAGTTTTATAAAGTATCTAATAGTCACCAGCTAAAAGATTTGTTCTATAATAATCAATTCTAAGTAGCACGATATTATTGTAAAAAAATCGCATTAATTTATTAAATAATTTCTCACATTGTTAATTTTTTTTTTTTTTATAATTTACTGTACCTGCATAATTTAAAAACCGACTGACTAGAACTTTATTTTAATAACATGATTGCAGATGTTTACATTATAACAATGGATCCTAAAAGTGACACAATTACGGACAAACATTGCCAAATTTATAAATTCTCCAATTTAGGAGGAAAGTTGGAAAAATATTTCAATTCATAACTGTACGCAACGACCAACGATGAACCATGGCTAACAAAAAACGATTTTGAGCAGAATATTACGAGACGTATGTTTTTCCTTCCTGTCAAGGTAACCCAAAAACAACAAAAATTATATAAAATTTGATACTTTTTCCCGATAATTAAAAAAAATCGACAACAAAATTCAAAATATTTTTCAGTTTATTTTTACCTTTTCAGTGGCCCAACAAGATCAAAAATTCTACAAGAATGTTCCTACAAAGGTTTTTATTGAAGCGAGATTTCCGGTAGAAAAGTTATTTACAGACACGTAAAAAATATATCGTAGATCACAGTGTAAAACAAATATATTTCTACGGATAAAAAACGAATCAAATTTTGGTAAAAAAAAAAATTAATGAAAACAAAATATATATTACTATATTATATACATACGCGATTTTCAGCGCCTATACAAATATTTTACCTTTTTTTTTTATTGACATTGCGGCGTAATCGTATTATGTAGATAGGTATAGTTGATAATTTGCGTCATCTCACGGTGGTTAAGTACGTCGCTGTCTAATCGCCGAAATCGTATATCCGTTTTTGCGAAATTTCAAACCACTCGTCGTTTAGTCGTACTAGTAGTAGTCATGGATCGCTATACAACTATGTCCGACAGTAATATACGAGTAGGTATCTCAGCTGTCTATAGTATCGTACTCCCACGTTATTTCGATACACATTACTGCAATAAATTTGTATAATTAGGGATAGGTTACTGTATAGTATTTTACACATTTTTTGCCCAATGCTGTCGCTATCATTCATTTAATAAGTCAATTAAATTATTTACACGTGTTTAAAATAAATACTGGATTCGAGTTTTTTGTTTCAGAAAACGAAAAATATGAATTGATAAATATTACATTTTTAACTTTAGATTTTTTCCAATGAATATTTTAAGTTTCTTTAATATATAATAAATAACACAATATTATTTAAATACATAGATTATATTTTTGATCATATCATGACATTTTCGCAATAAATCAATTATCAACATATTTTTAATTGAATACTTCGCAGTTTTTAGAGTAGATAAATCCTAACTCTAATTATAATATTATTAGTTTGTGTTTAGACTACATCAGACAGAACGATAAATCCTTATGCTAAAGTTCCACGGATTAATTTCAGTAATTTGGGGTTTTGACTACGCGATCTCACGCAACAGCGACGTTGTTATCGGCGTATTGTTCCAAATGCGATATCAGATGATATCATATTCCTAATAGTATTATTGTTATTACCTACAAATAATATACCTAACCTACCTATATTATCATTTCTATACATATTATTTTACGATCAAAGGGTGGTACCGAAACGTTTAGTTTTCACAGAGGTCACGCGGATGTTGTGACTACTCAGCGGTGCTCCAGCATACCATAAGTTCAGTATTTGGTCATATAAAATCTGGTAGATGCCGATAATGTATCAAAAAAAAAAAAAAAAAATGGCAACAATGCGTATGAAAATAAGAGACTGTTTTTATTAAATCAAATTTAACAAATTAAACATTAATATTTGTAAAATTATTTAACGTTGCGCAGTTCTTTATTAACACAATATATTCAATTTCAAATATTTATACAATCATTATCATGGCAAAATTCTACGTGTGCAATGAACTTTTCAAGTTAACAGGGCAACTCATATTTTTTCTTTTAAAATCGGTAACCAGAAAAAATTCTGCGGTTATCCACTTCAGGGGTAGTTTCTGGTTATAAATTGTATGTAGTAAAAACAAACAATCTCATCATCGTCAGGTTTATTATAGTTTGTTCTTACAGCATTAAAAAATCTCGAAAAGGTTGCCACGATTTTATTTTTTTTTATAAGCGTTTAATATTCAAATGTTTATGAAAATTGCAAAATCTCGGCGTTTTGCGTACTATTTTTCGACTTATGGGGGTACAATAAGTTGTATCCACATACGGTCAGCCGTTACCAAATTCTTACCTACAACAGTGGCCCACCCATTGTGCGAAGTATGTCCGTATATTTTTTTTAAAATATTTAATTAATAGTAGCAAA